CGGCGGGTAGAGCACGCGTTGTCGTTTTATCGGACGAATTTTACTGTGCCATTTTGGACTCATTGCCCATTCTATTCCGAGTTAGACGAGAAGTGGTTTTACGCAGAATCGCAACAGGACGATCATACCTCGTTTTTCGACGGCGGAAGAACTTCCTTGCTCGCGCCTTGAAAGAGTTAAACGATTCCGTTCCCTAGACGATGATTTTAGCCTGCCCAAGGTAAATCTTCTATAATATTATATTTTTGACATATAAAAACCTCTAACATTTTATTTTTAATTTTAGGTACGATCTTCACCGAAAGCAGCGTTGGGATGGCAAAGTTGGTATATTGTCTTTCACGGAACAGTACGAGGCGAAACGGCGAAGCAAAAATAGAGACAAAGGAGCTATTTGCACTCGTAATATCGATACGGTCTGTCGGGAAGTGTACAAGGATTATCTTCTGACAAAAGTATTTCCAGCGATCAAAGCAAATTGGCCAAGGAAGGATCGGAATGAAATCATATTCGTACAACAAGACAATGCAAAGCCGCACGTAGCGCCAACAGACCCGGATGTAATGAAGGCCGGAACTGAAGGAGGATGGAACATCAAGCTACTATGTCAGCCCCCCAACTCGCCTGACCTCAATTAGATCTGGGTCTGTTCGCCTCCATGCAAAGTATTCAGCATCGAATACCAAGTAAGGGTATCAACGCTCTCATAGCGTCGGTGGTGGACGCGTTTCGGCAGCTGGAGACTGACACGGTAGATGATATTTTTTTGACCTTACAGGCATGTATGCTGGAGCTTTTACGAGAAGGAGGAGGCAACCTGTACAAACTACCGCACTTGGGGAAAGCCAAGCTCCGGAGGGCGAAACAACTTCCTGTTAGTTTGTCATGTAGCAAAGAGCTGTATGAGTCTGGTGTCGCGTTACTTAAGTCTTCAAACCGTGGCAGTGCACTGCTATTCAATTTAACATCAGCATAAATGACAGTTAATGTGATCTATAAATGACAGTTAATGTGATCTATAACTTTATATAAATCGTAAAATAAGGTCTTAGCGGGTAACAGCACTATTGACCTATCATACTTACTTCGCGTGATCATTTCCGACCAGAGGAAGTAATTGCCAAGAGCAACTAGTCGAGCTTTGAAGCGAATCACAAACCCCTGAAAATCCGTCTTCACACTATAGACCCATCGTGTCTTGATAGGCTTAGCATCCTTCGGAACATCCTCAAACGCAATCTATTCCAGAACTCTACGTCGTTTCATTGCCGACATCTCTGCCAGCTCGGCTTCGCGCCAATAGTTACGGTATTTGCTTCGCATAGCTTCGCGGTGGTTGCGTGGAATCCTAACATCACTTGCTCGTATAGGACGTCCATTCTCATCCAGTACACGTGACGTATTCTGCACCGCGTTGACTACATAGTCATCCAAAGAATTAGGTCGATGACGCTCGTGATCTCACGTAGACCAGTTCGAGTTCGCTTCGGACCTTCACGTTCCGCACATATCTCCACACGACCCATTTCTGAGTTTGTTTCATCTCGTTGGCGCTTGCATACCAATTTCTCACACGTACTGGAAATGGTGACGTTATCAGCATCTTCACTGAATTTCTCATCAACGTCAGCCAGCATATCTCCGTCTTCATCGGCTACAAGATTCGTTTCATTCACAACCGATTCAGAGAGATTTTCACCTGCATGCAGCCCTTCAGTGTCCACTTCAGATGAACTCCCATCAGCACCAACGTCTAATGAACCACACACACTGACAGCAGACGCATTATCACTTGTCATGTCAGGTTTCGTGTATCCATATACTGTCGTAAGTTTCGACGCTGATCCTTCAGAATTCACACCGTCACTCTGTATAAGATCATCACTCTGGTTGTGGTATTGTCCACTCTGCAGTGCAGTCAGTACACTAGATAAACCCGCCGTTACCCCTTCAACATTCGGAACACACGGAGGTTCAGTCACTGTGTCTCCGATTCCTTCCAGTCCTGTCCAGTTTGCAGATGCTGTTGACGGTAATGACGCTCGTTGCGCCTCCCTAAGCTCCGTCATCACCTCATATCGCTCTTCAACTCGTTGCGCAGTATCGTCCTCGCCTCCCTCGAGGTCTCTGGTCGCTTCGAGCGTAGCCTCGCTCATCATCGGAGCAGCGTTCGAGTTGCAGACTTCACTCAGATCCATAGTAGATTCGAGCGTTGAGTTTTCAGTACTCGGCTCCATGTTACTGCGCTTCGTAAAGTGCAACGACTCCAAGTCGTCGTCCTCCAAGTCTACTCCATGACGATCTCGGTACATCACATCCTCACTAATGCGAAGATCGGATACGAATTTAGCTGTACGATCATCAGGAAAGTAGACTTTACAACCCACGGTATCTTCAGCATAACCGAGCACAAAACCTAGTCGCGCGTTATCATGGTGCTTCTTCCGACCTGGTGTCACTGGTACATGCACATAAGCAAGTGAACCAAACTTGCGGATGTGATGGAGGTCGGGTTTGATCCCAAACATAATCTCATAGGGAATGCTCTGAGTTCCCTTATTGTAGGTTCTGTTCTTGATGTACACTGCGTTACGCAGCGCTTCAGGCCACAGACTAACAGATAATCCAGCATCATGCATCATCGACTTCGTCATCTCCACGAGAGATCGAAGCGTCCTCTCGCAAAGGTTCAGCTGTGCTCTCTTTGGACCCACCTTCACATGCTCGATGCCGTGCACTCCGTACCAGTTATCCAATACTGTATTAACGAATTCACCGCCTTTGTCTGTCAAGACTTGGTGTACTCTGTACTTCACTCGAATAGAGCCATCCTGCTGACGACCAGCTTGTCTTTCAGCCCAGAACACATATTCTTTCATGTGCTGGTTCACTACCTCGCTTGACTTGCTAGTCAACATGTGAACTTTCACAAAGCGAGTGTACCCATCCATGAGCACAAGAACAGCCTCGAATCTAGTACCATTAGCTTTACTAGGGATCAGTAAGTCAGCGTATACCATTTGGTTCGGAGCCTTTGTGTTGCGATCCAGCTTCTTCCAGTGTCTTCGCTGCTTCTGCTTGCCAATATGACAGGCGTCACACGTTCCTAGCTCTCTCTGCCTTAGCATCATGCCACGAACGAGGTTCTTGTCGACCATCGTCTTCAAGTATTGTGGACACATGCCCCAATCTCTCATGCAAAAGTTTCAAAGAAGCCACTCCTTCCGCAACTGTGATATTGCACAACGGCCGATCCTGTGAACTAATAAATCCATTTCTGGATGGATGGCTCACTTGAAATCCCCATGTTCCATCGTCCGGTGCTGCAACAATTACAGTATCCTCGTGTTCATCTTTCACACGAAAGCACCTCAATTGTCCATGGTAATCAAAGTCAAAACCTTGTTCCGTAGCTTATCCGACTGATAGTAGGCCATGTGTAGCACCAGGAATGTAGAAGACGTCACTGAGGTACACTGCCTTCCGCTCGCCTTCAACTTCAGTTATTAGCTGCACAGTCCCTACTCCAGCCACTCGAGAAGCCAGCGCAGGCGTAACCCCATGTACATGCTGGGATTGATTTAGATCCGGTGTAAACGCCACGTAATACCACGGGTTTCCCGTCATGTGCACGTTAGCAGCCGTATCGAAGTAGCACCACCCACTACTTGTGTCTACTTCATGTTCATCATGTTCGAGACCATCGTACCAACAGCTAACAGTAGCATCAGCTTCATTACCTCTTGCCTCTTTCTCCATGTTTGAACCCGCTTCATTCTCTTCGCTGTTCTCCGCCGGCCGTCTGGCGTCGATCAGTAGAGCGTCCAAAGCGTCCGTCACTTCTTCTGATACATGTACTTCTTCTGTATCTGAGCCTAATGACTCGCTGTAATCCACACAAGTCACATTTGCACGTGCCTTCTTCTTCTGCTCGCTTTTAGCAGCTCTGGCCCCGTCTTGGTTCTTCACCTTCTGCGGACACTCCGAAAAAGGTGTTCAGTACTGTCGCAAACAAAGCACTTTTTCACCTTCTTCTTTGTGTCTTTAAACTTCTCAGTTTTTTCACGATTTTGTCCATTGCCATCGGCCTTCTGCTTCTCAACACTACCGCTTTTCTGGCTGCGTTTCCCGCTCTTAGCTTGAAAAACTCTCTGTCGAGAGTCAGCAACCCGAATAAGCTCTCGAGTCCGCTCTGGGGTGATGTATGTGTCAGCACAATTGTACCGAACACCACTCTTCAAACTCTCAAACTCATACGTATGCGGTAGACTGTTCAACATTAACTCCACCATCGCGGTGTCGTCGAATTGATAGTTGAGAGACAGCAACTCCGTCCGCAAGTTGAACATCGTACTCAGGTGCTTGTTGACGTTTCCGCCCGAGGACAGCTTGAGCATATCAAGCTCGTGTCTAATGCTCTCAGCTCTATGAGCCATAGTAGTTCGGTTCTCCCGGCTCTCATAGATTACGCAGAGCGCCTTCCACGTGTCGGGTCCGGTGGATTTGTCGCGAATCTGATGGAAGATTTCTGCTGGCAGTGACATCCCGATGAGCTGCATGATGGTCAACTGATGATCATCAAACTCTTCCTCAGCCTCCGACGTAGAGAGCATCATCTTCGTGAGATTCCCATTCACGATATCCATGAGTTTCTTCTTCTTGAGAACTATCTCCATCGCCCATTTATACTGCTGCCAATCCTTCCCATCCCAGTTCTTTGGGACACATACTTTAATGGTCCTGACATCTTAGATCACGTTAGTGAACAAAATCCGAAAGTCTTTTGGGCTCAGAACCCTCTTGGATAATGCACTTGATCCGTATGCCCTAGGAACATTTTCACCAGTCCACTGAAAGGTAAAAGAAAGTATCATTAGATCGTTAGCTTCACTATTAATACTCCTCAGCTCAACGTTGTTCTGCGACCATGCAGTCGCTTCTCATGCATTGGCCTGGCATCATTTGTCTTCACTACACTGCACAGCACCTTTGTGCTCAGCTCAGTTGTGCCAGGTCCCGTAGTTCGACCATCCGTCTTGTACTTCACGTTGACTCTGGTCCTGGATATGAATCTGGATTTCAACAGCTCCAGTACTGGACGGCGCTTCTGGGGAATAATAAAGCGTGTATTGCGTCGGTCCGATATCACTGCTGCTCTACAGTAGACGCTGTTGTTAGGAGTTTCTCGAACGGAAAGGGTCGATTCTTTGGACTGGGTGGGACAAGGTGTTTCGAATCTGTGCTCACGTAATAGCGCTTGAAAATGGAGCACTGGATTTGTGGTGCGTTTCGGTGGCGCAAAAGAGGAATTTGTTGGCGTCCAGCAGTCGAGCAGATGAACGTATCCTCACGGTGCTTGTCGCAGCTCAGGAAAGTCTCCATTGCGTGCACAAACTGAGAGCAACAACGCATTAGCGTTGCTTGGTGGACGGCAACAATAGTGACAGACTAACCTCGATGTATGTGTCCTCGGTTTTGGAGCCGAATAGTCTCAGCAAGGTTTTCAGCTTGCTCTTTTGAGAGCCGAACGTTCAGATTGCTAGTCAAATGTGCCGGTTCGGTCTTTTCTTGAGACAGGCTTGACTGACATGGGCCGATAAGCTGGTGCATGCTGTACCGGTTGGCAACAGCAAACTGTTTGTGAGGTTAAGTTTGCTGCCGGGAAAATACGCGTGTTACCTGTTTACCTGAAAACTGGATCGTGTGATCAAGAAGAAGACCAGGGTATGCTCGCCGCAAGAGGCACGAAAAGAGCTCTACATCATATCGCTGTAGGTTTAATGCGGAGGAGAACAAGGGCAACTGTGAGCTCAAAAGAAGACAAAACAACCAGATTTTTCGTACATGCTGGAGAGCGTCCAGCCAGCCTTCGATGAGATCCCAATCCTGTTGATCAACCAAGCGCTTGAGACCGAATAGGTTTGTGAGATAGTGCCGGATGAACTTGGCGAGCTGCAATAACGAAAGCGACAGCGTCAAAGCAGAATTCACTATATCCCATGCATACATTTTTCACAACTGCTAATGCTTGATACTGACAAGTCTCCGTATCCGTCGTATATCTCGTTGATAAAGCGAGCAAGCCTTGTCTCCTTAACGTACGTGCCACAACCGCTTGTCGACGGGATCTGAATTTAAAAAATCGCCCTCGTCCTTATCGTTGACGTTTTGGTCCTCAGCATCGACAGCTAGCGGTTTTACAAAACAAGCACGAACATTCGCCACGAAGCGTTTGTCCGAAGCGCTGTTTGGGCAGCACAACTCCAGAGACCGTCTGCCATACTGACATTTGAATTTGATTTCTGCGTCGTTGCAAGCTCCAAATACCGGTATTGCGTTTAAATCTGTTGCCTGGCGTCCAATCACACATGATTATCATTGAAAAAAATATTATGGCGCTAGGTGCAGTAATAGGTCAGCACGGAAAACTTTGCGGTGGTGCCTTCCAGGGACACCAACGAAGCCCGCGGCTAGTCTAGAAATCAGTGTGGTTTTTACTATAAAAAAAAGCTTTACGAAGCTGTAATTTTTCATTTTCATGACCACGAAAACGAACGCAGAATAATATTGTCCGTCATTGTGACTAAACTGCTTCACCAATCATTCGCTCCTATTGGCGATGATGCAGGTCTACGTCACCGGTATTTGCGCTCGGTTTTTGCGCAACGTCGCCACAAGATTTATTCCGGTGCGTTATAGACGGCGTGCTCCCTGGGTATAGTCGAAATCACAGAGAATTGAGCCCTTGCATATTAATGTAGGCTTTACCCAAATGCTTATATATATATATCTTTTCAGTGTCTGTAAACCCAGGTAGTGTTTTGAGCAGCTTAAGGAAAATTCTTGTGCTGAATATGAGCATAGCGAGGTCTTATCAGAAGGCGGCCGTCAAAACTTCAGCCCCACCATTCGCCCCACTTCCACATCCGCCCTCCAGTCCTCTCTAGACCACCACAATGTGCGGAATTGTCGCCATCCTACGCTCCATGATGCCCGAGGCGGAGCTCCGCCAAGCCGCACTAGTCGCCGGCAAGAAGATCCAGCACCGTGGCCCGGACTGGAACGGCGTGCGCGTGTTTGGCGAGCGCGGTATCGCCATCGAGCACGAGCGTCTGGCCATTATCGACCCGGAGTCGGGCGCTCAGCCTCTCGTGAGCAACGACCCGGAGCGAAGCATCACGTGCGGCGTCAACGGCGAGATCTACAACTACAAGGAGCTGGCTGCGGGCCTGAAAACGCCCTACAAGTTCCTCACCAAGTCGGACTGCGAGGTCATCATCCCGCTCTACCTCGAGCACGGCCCAGGCTTTGTCCACTTGCTGCGTGGCATGTTCAGCTTCGTTCTCTACGACCACCGCAAGGATTTCTTCCTAGCTGCTAGGGATCACATGGGAATTACCCCAATGTATTATGGCTACGGAGCTGACGGTAGTGTCTGGTTCGCCTCGGAAATGAAGGCGCTGGAGGAAGGATGCGTCCGCTTCGAGGTCTTCCCGCCTGGTCACGTCTTCACGAGCGACACGGAGACGTGTAAGCCATGGTACAAGCCCAACTGGTACGAGCCTGGCCACATTGGCAAGACGCCGTTGGATCTCACGGCTCTTCGTGAAGCTTTCGAGGCTGCTGTCAAGCGTCGAATGATGTCGGACGTCCCATGGGGCGTACTGCTCTCTGGAGGACTGGACTCGTCTCTTGTGGCTTCAATTGCAGTCCGAGAGAAGCAGAAACTCGTGGCTCAAGGTGGAGAATGGATCAACAAGATCCACTCGTTCACTATCGGTCTCGAGAACTCGCCCGACCTCAAGGCAGCACAGGAAGTGGCCGAGTTCCTTGGTACCATCCACCACTCGTACACGTACACGATCCAGGAAGGTCTGGACGCTGTATCGGAAGTCATCAAGCACCTGGAGACGTACGACGTGACCACAATCCGTGCGTCTACCCCCATGTTCCTTATGTCGAGGAAGATCAAGGCGATGGGCATCAAGATGGTGCTATCTGGTGAAGGTGCCGATGAAGTCTTTGGCGGATACTTGTACTTCCACAAAGCTCCCAGTGCTGAGGCCTTCCACAAGGAGACGGTGGCCAAACTACAGGCGCTGCACCAGTACGACTGTCTGCGTGCCAACAAGTCCACAAGTGCGTGGGGTCTAGAGGCGCGTGTGCCGTTCCTGGACGCCGATTTCCTCGACATCGCCATGAACATTGACACGCGCGAGAAGATGATCGACGCCAAGGCCAAAAAGTTCGAGAAGTACATTATCCGCAAGGCTTTCGAGGACAAGGAGAACCCGTACTTGCCCGAGCACATTCTGTGGCGTCAGAAGGAGCAGTTCTCGGACGGTGTAGGCTACGGGTGGATTGATTCGCTCAAGGATCTGGCCGAGAAGACCGTCACGGAGCGCCAGATGAAGCACGCCGAGCGGCTATTCCCGTACAACACGCCTCAGTCCAAGGAGGCGTACATGTACCGCAGCATCTTCCAGCACCACTTCCATCGCGAGGTGGCGGCCCAGACTGTGCCTGGAGGCCCCAGCATCGCCTGCAGTACCCCTGCTGCTATCGAGTGGGACGCTGCGTTCAAGAACGCCGCTGACCCGTCCGGTCGTGCCATTGCCGGCGTGCACGTGGATGCCTACGCCGAGTAATGCAACAATTAGATAGTCGTGGCTCTCTCTGCCGCAGTAAACCGCATCAATACTACCAGATAGAGCGAATTGGGTCGGTATTTGGTCTCACGACTGTAGACTATTCCTGAGAATAGTGAACATGCTAACGGCAACTGAGGTTGCGCTCACAAATCGTCGCTTCAGCGGAGCATCGCAACGTTCTCGATGAGCAGCTCAATTCTTCCACGTCTGCCAGAAGATCGAGCTAAAAGCCCGACTCTCGGGCTACTGCCACCGCTGGTGAACGATGCTGGCACGTCGTCCTGCAACAGCCAGCGAAGTCGTCTCAAGCAGCCTAAACAACGAAGCGTACCAGCAACGATATCTTCATCTTCGTCTGGAGTGAAGTTTCCATCGATAGGTAGGCCCCAGCAACTGCCAACACGCAACCAGGAAGAAGAACAAGGACGCGAAACCGCGCGAGATTACCACGACGAGGAAGACGAGAAGCGTCGCGGTTTATCCAGCAGTCGGACGTCGTCTTCGTCTCGATCTTCTTTGCAGGTGAAGAAGGACAAGAACCGAGACTTTATTAGAGAACTGGAAGAGAAGAAACGTAGAGAAAAACAAGATCGCGCGCGACAGGAGACACGCAAAAAGAAACTTCATGAAAAAATGACGCGCAAACTCCTGGACGGAGCCGACGCTCGACAGAAACAAGCTGCGTTGTCTCCCGAGGTGGGCGATCTCACTAGCGCAATTAAGCGGCAACAAGAGCCTCAAGACGAGGATCAAGACGACGCTGCAGAGGCCGAACGACGCAAGGAAAAGGCGAAGCGTCAGAGACGTTTACTCAAGAGGCAACAGGCGCATCTAGCTCGACTTCAAGCCAAGCAGCGCGAAGACCAAGCGCAGCAGGAAGTGGAGAAGGAACGCGAAGAACGCAAGCGTGAGAAGGTGACGCAGACGGTTCTGCACAAGATCCAACACTCCGTCACTCGAGCAGAGGAACACGACGCGATGGAGACGAAAAGCGACGCTGATGGGCCGAAGGAAGCGCCGACGAGTAGTGAAATCGTCGTCGAGGAGCAAACGGAAGCGCAGAAACAACGGGCGAAAGAGCAGCGCGACGCGCTTCACCGAAAGCAGCAGAGATACCTCCAGCAACTGGCCGATCAACGCAAACAAAAGGAGAAAGAGGACGACGATGCGCGGATCTTGCAGGAGAAACGCAAGCGGAGGATCCAAAAGGAGGCTCAGCAGCGGTTGCAAGAAGCGGCAGCGAAGCAACAAGCCCTGGCCGAAGTGAGAGAGAAGGAAGAAGCAGAGGCGGCAGCTGCAGCGGCCGAGAAAGCGGCGAACGCGGGCCCGCCGGTGGACGTGGAGGCGATGGTCGCTCGACTGAGTAAACTGAAGGACCGCGACGCTCAAATTATCCCCGAAGCGCGAGATTTGGCGTCCTGGAAGAAACGTCACGGCGTCGCGCCTGACCAAAAAGTCTTCTGTATGACTGGGTGGTATCCAGTGATAAAGGAAGAACTGGAGAAGCGTGGGTGGTTCTACAACCAGGATCGGGCGTCGCCGTATTTCGACTTCAAGTGGACTCTAAAGAGCGAGGAGTTGAGGGGGATGAAACTCGAGAAACACCAGTACGTGAACCATTTCACCCAAAACGCAGCCATCACGACGAAAGTGGGACTTATTCACAACTTGCGAAGTGCCGTGTGGCATCACAGCGTGGATATCGATGGGTTCTTCCCTCGTGCGTATGACCTGAACGACCACATGGACATGGATACATTCGTTCAGGACTTTCGTTACGGTGTGGCCGAAGGACTCCTGAAACAGTTAGCGAGACGAGGCTTGCAACTTGAGAATAAGCTGCCAGGAGCTGCGTCGATGGGAGCAAACGAAGCGTTAGTCGATGTGGTTCTGGACATAGCGAGGAAGAAGATCAAGAGCAAACGACCCGAGTGCAACCATTTCGAGTCCATAGGTCATGTCGATCCTCTTGAGGAGAGCGTAGATAACCCGCTGTCGACAGGTGTGGACGAGTTGGTGACAGATCTGCAATGGGAAGTGCTGACGAATTGCTCATTGGACAAACCGGGTCAGCTTCGGGCCTCATTAGTGTACAAGAAGAAGGTCTACGCAGAAGACAGAGATGCAGCTACCGAAGGGAACAGCGGTGACACAGTGGTGTCGGCAAGAGAAAAGAGACTGCTACGATACGCGGAGAAGAAGCACGTGGACGCATTCAATCGGGAGAAAGCTCGGCTCAGCGATCTCATAGCGCACGTGTCACTTGTACGCGATGGGGCTTTTCACGAAGCAATCCGACTGGCGCAGGTGCTGGAGAAATTGTGTCCTCAGTTCTATATCAACGGTGGGGCGGAGTTCATGCTGTCGGAGCCTCATCCTGCCGCTAGTACGAGTACCGGCCAGAATGTGTGGATTGTCAAGCCCGCAGGAATGTCAAGAGGACGTGGCATCCGCGTCTTCAACGACCTGGACCAGCTGCTGGAATGCGTCGATGTGGACAACCACAAAGAGTGTCAATGGGTGGCGCAGAAGTACATCGAGAACCCGTTGCTGCTGTGTAAACGCAAGTTCGATATTCGACAGTGGGTGCTCGTCACGGGATGGGACCCGCTCACTGTTTGGCTCAATGAAGACTGCTATCTACGCTTCTCGTCAGCGGAATACTCGATGGACAACCTGGACGACCAGTACGTACACTTGACCAACAACTCGATCCAGAAATACAGCGACAGATTCAACGACGTGTACACGACGGACGATGGCGAGATGCAGGTGGAGGGCAATATGTGGCACTCGGACGACTTTAAGAAGTTCTTGTCGACGAAGTTGGGGAAACCCGAGATCTGGGACTCGCACATGCACCCACGCATGAAGGAGATCGTCGTACAGTCGCTGCAGTGCGTGCAAGACATGGTCAACCATCGCAACAACAGCTGCGAGCTGTACGGATACGACTTCATGGTGGACGAGAATCTGACGCCGTGGCTGATCGAGGTCAACAGCTCGCCGGCCTGCGACTACAGCACGCCTATCGCTCAGCGCTACGTGGAGTCTGGCTTATCCAGTATCATCAAAGTGGTGGTCGACCATCGAGAGTACGAACAGAAAAAGCGGAGTGGCGATGCTGCTGGGCTGGAGGAGCCAGACACGGGCTGCTGGCAACGTATTCACAAGGCCGAGCTCGTTGGCAAACCCATGTCGCTGCATGCGGTGGATTTCCAAGTGAAGGGTGCGAAGATGCAGCGCCGTCGTCGAAGTGCCAAGCTGTACGGAAGTAAATCTAGCACAAAAAAATCTGCAGACGCCATCTCGGAGGGTGGCGACGCAGACAGCGATGTGGACGCGGCTGTGACGGGGGCTGTTCGGGAAGAGGAAGATCTCGACGGAGACGACGAGGATGTGGCTCAAGAGAAAGAAGAAAGTGTCGGTCAAGAGGAAGAAAACTCGCGATCAGAGGGCAATGTGGACAATGCTCGGGGCGAACTCAAGACACAAGAGGCCAGGGAGACACTGGCGGACGATATTGACCCGCTATTGTAGACAGGTGACGTCATGGGAGACGGGGCAGCGTTTTTAATCGCTTCAGTTTCGTGACGTCGTCGTTCAAGTCTCTCGTCGCCCTGTGGGGTGACTGTGCAACTTGTATGCAAGGTGTTTGCATTCGATGGGACCTCAGTGAACAGTGTACACTTCATGTACGTGAACTGTACTGTACATGTTCATGTATTACGTGTACCGGTAGGGACGTTTTCACAGACTTCCAAATGCGATTTGCCGTAGGTGAGCGTGGCTAGACTCTAGCCCGGCTTGAGAGGCTTGTGCGCGTGCTCGGTGTACTACCTGTAGAGAGAGTTTTCAGCCGCACGCCTTCTACGGCACCCAGCACGTCTGCTTCATACCAGTAAACACATATACATGAAAAACTGTAAATTTCTACTCAATTGATGCCGACCAATTGCTATATCACAGGTCACCGTTTTCACACGACCAGAGTTTTAGACGTTGCAGTGCCACCAAAGAAGTGCAACTTGCACTTCTTTGGTGGCTTGCGCCAGCCTGCCGGATGCTCACCAGAGTTTATGTTCAAGCCAATCCATCACACGTGCCGAAAGCCGAGCCATCTCGCCATTACAGACCTGCGGGCCGCAGTGCGGCCTTTCCAGCGGCGTTGGCTCGCCGACAGCTCCCGGGCGGAGGAGCTGCCACAGCGCACGTATGCGCGAGTTTGGCTTAATTAAATCACCTTGTTGAAGCGCCTGGTGGCTGTCGCAAAGAGGCTTCGTTGAGGCCGCAATTGTAGTAGCGGCCCTCGTGCCATAGGTACATTTACGTGTACATGTATTAATAAGTTTTACATTACCAAACGCTGATTGCACAGGGCCCTGCCGCCGTACATGTACCGGTAAATGACGGCCACATGGACTCCGCATTTGCAGCTGGAGCAGCAGGAGCTCGTGGTCGACAGTCACTTGTCCGCACAGTGTCACTCGATAGGCTAGCCAAGACCGTCACCTCACTATAACGATATCATTCTCTCGAGTTTCCTGATAAACCTGCATTTTGCCGACTCATCAGACCAGCTGACCAATCACAAACGAGCCAAAGCCCGTTTAAATACAATAAATGTATCACTGCAATGTACCCGTAGTTGCAAAATAAGCATTCGTAGAGGTCCTCCCAAATCGTCTGTTGTTGTTTTCCGGTTTGACCAATTAAAAGAAATAGTTAAGATTATCCTTCAATGGAAGCCTTGCGTTTACCTGCACAAAGCCGCGACGCACCGTACACTGTAGAGGTGTCCGAGCCAGTCCACGTCCGTCTGACTTCCCCTTCCCCACATTCCGCCATATCTCCACCGGCCATACACCCGATCGAGGGTTGTCTCCGTCTTCGCTCGCACCGCGCGCTCTCCGTTTCCACGGCGCCTTCGAAGCTCGCGAGCGTCTCTCTGTATTGCTGAGACCCAGGCGCGTCGAACCGTGTCAGTCTCGCAATAATCAGGTGTCAAATCGCGCCGCTACATTCAATCGAATATGATGCGCATCGTTTTCCGCACCATTGCAGCCGCGCTGCTGCTAGCCGGCTCAACACACGCCGCATGTGGAACCAAAGGGACAATCGTGCTCATGGCCACCGGCGACGACAGCGAGGGTCTCATCGTGGACGCCGATTGTGAACAGACTGAAGTGGACGTCACCACGAGCAAGAACAATCCAACTCTCACAGCCAGCAGTATGGGCATCCAGAAGGTGCTGAGCGCCCCGGACGTCAAGACAATGTACAGCAGATAACACTTGGTCTCGGCTATTGGATCACGCACTGACGTCTTGTATCTGAATTTGCGATTGCAGAGACCTATCGCTGAACAACATCACGTCGGTGGCTGTATCCAACCTGACGACGCTGGATAAACTGTACGGCAAGGTGACTTTGTTGGCGTCGAGGACAGTGAACTAACATATATATTGTGCTCGCGCCTACAGAACGTTGACGTCAAACGCGGTCACGAGCTTCAGCAAATTGGAAGTTCCGGACACACTCACACAGTTGGACTTGAGCTGGAACAACATCGCGTCGTTCGACGGCATGGCGCTGCCCGACACGATGACGCAGCTGTTCCTAGGTGGCAACCCGATCTCGTCTGTTTCTGGCGTGACCTTTCCGTCGTCATTGACGCTGCTTTACATCCACAACCTCAAACTGACCACTCTGGACGGCGCGACCTTCCCGGACAGTGTCCAGTACTTGTCTCTGGTGCAGTCTGGTTTGTCCAGTTTGGACGGCGTCAACTTCCCGGACAGTCTGCAGTACATGTACGTGCAGCGTTTTGCTCCCTATCGTAAAGGAAGGGAAAAAAATGAACTCACACGTCTCGTTTCTACTGCTACAGCGACTTCTCGTTCAACACAATCACGTCGCTGCCCTCCGGATTCCCGTCCACAGTGGTGCAGATCACAGCCACGAACAACGAGATCGCACAGCTCAACAAATACTCGTTCCCGTCCAGCATCACGTCGCTCAACTTTTCCGGCAACCCCATCGAGTCGATTCGTGGCGTTTCGTTCCCCATGGCGCTGTCCAAACTGGATTTTGGCTCGAACGAGATCACGAACTTCGAGATCTCGCGCTCAGACTACTCCACCTTCAAGGACTTGGACGTTTTCAACGCTGTAGTGGCACAGACGAGCTGCTCCACGTCTGGCGCCGAGCTGGTCGCCGTCTCTGGCTACAGCATCTGCGTCATCTCGGACGAGTTGTTCGAAAGAACATACGGCAACTCCACGTCGTCTTCAAGCGCCGAGAGCTCTGTCACGGCGCTCATCGCCAGTAGTAACAGCAACTCGACCATCCTCATTGTGGTCATCTGCTTGGCTGCTGTGCTGGCCGTGGCTCTAGCAGCTTTCGCCTACCGAACGTACCGCGTGCGTCAGACTGAGAAGGACATCTCGGGGGGACGTATGGACGAGAACAACTTCTTCGCCAACAACACGCTGATGGGCACGGCCACTAACTCGGGGGGCCAACACATCGCCAACAAGCCTCACCACGCAGACTCGAACTCGTTCAACACGATCTTCAGTGGCGGCAAAGTGACCATGATGGGAGGGACAGCCATCGAGTCGGCGCTCGTCAAGTACCGTGTGCCTGCCAACGAGGTTCACATTGAGCGATCCATTGCCAAGGGAGGCTTCGGTATCGTGTACCTTGCCAACTACCAGAGTCGCTCTGTGGTGGTCAAGAAGATTCTACCGGAAAAGGCGGCGGACGACCGCTGTCTGAGTGCGTTTATCGAAGAGATTAAGCTCATCTCGTCTCTGTCGCACGCCAAGATTGTGCGGTTTATCGGTGTGAGCTGGAGTATGCTCTCCGACATGGCTGTGCTCATGGAATACCTGCCCAACGGAGACCTCGATATGCTGCTGAAACAGCAACACGAGCGGCAAGAAATGTACCCGAAGGAGTTCGACTGGTACCAGAATTCCTCTGTACTTCCAGCCAAGGCTTCGATCGCTCTGGACGTGCTGGAAGCCATCGTGTATCTGCACTCGTTCCCGTCGCCTATTATCCACCGCGACCTCAAGTCGAAGAACGTGCTGCTGAGTGCGTCGTACGAGGCCAAACTGAGCGACTTTGGCGTAAGTCGCGAGTGGCAAGTGGACACGACGATGACGGCGGGAATCGGCACGATGGCCTGGATCGCCCCCGAGGTGCTACGAGGCGAGAGGTACACGGAGATGGCCGACATCTACTCGTTCGGTGTGATTCTGTCCGAACTGGCCACGTGCATCAAGCCGTTCGACGGCGTAACAAACGCCCTGATCGTCCTCAAGGTCACGAGCGAAGAGAAGCCGGATCTGGGCCAGAACTGCCCCGAGGACATCCGAGAGCTGGCAGATCGCTGCTTGAGCTTCAACGCCAACGACCGCCCGAGTGCGAGCGTGGCGCATTACGAGCTGCGTACGTTGCTTAAGTTGCACTCGGCGTTTGAGCTCTAGGGTAGTTGTCTCTCCGGTATCGTATATGAATAGTAAGCTTCAAAGACGCAAGTGGGTGAGCCTGGAGGACGTGGAGAGAGAGAGAGAAAAGGCGGGAGGGAACGCCAAACCCAGTGGGTAGTGTCATAAGTAAATATGTCTAAAACGTGTTTTGATTATTTCTCGCTCCGGCTTGTTTGGGTGCGTGTGCGTGAGGTGCTTCGCGTAGTGACGGTCGTTGTCCTGGCACCGCATTGGCGCCATGTTGTGCAGCCATGTTGTGAGCTTCAAGGTGATGAGCGAGTCAATGGAAGATCGGACAACGTATTGACCGCGATAGCTTATACACTTGAGTTTGTGGAGGACGCATCTAATATCTCCAAGCCTTCCGCATATAAAATCATCTTTGATAATCTATTTTGACGCTAGCACTTCAGCCTGCACCCCGATTTAGCGACTCTGCTTTACAATGTCCGGGCATAGAGAAACCCAGCCGCTGTTACACTTCCTCCCTGGCAGCAGTGACTTTGCGTAACGCAAGCAGCTGTCGGTGCCGTATCGCATTCGTCACATCGCCATAAGTCGCTTTTTGCGAGCCCTGACCATTATCTTAGGCGAAGCCACAGCACCTTGTCGTGGCTGTTGCCTGCCCGAAATGATGTTGTTGATCGTCTCACCCACGTTTCGCAGGCCAATGCGACTCACAGCGTCGTATCTTTGACACGGGGCTGGCCCAGCCGCACGCCGTCGCTCGTAAGTAACAGCGTCGATGCGCCCAGCATGTTTCTCGAACGTAGAGGCACCGGCCCAATCATCCAGCTGCACGATTGCTCCTCTCCTCTTTCGCCTCTCCCGGCGGTTCTTGACTGTGAGTCTTCTTCCTCGCCCACTATCGAACTCGCTTCGATCTGCCCAAGTCCTTCACTTCGACTTCCCTTTCTATCTATCAACTACATCTGCAATGGGCTGCGCACAATCCAAGACTGAGGACGTGGCCGTCACGAACCCGCCTGAGGCCGAGGCCGCCCCGGCTGAGACGGAGCCCGTCGCCGTCGAGGAGCCCAAGGTCGAATCTCCCAAGGCTGTGGAGACCGAGGAGACAGAGACACCGGCCGAGCCTGAGGCCGAGACCGCTGCGGAGTCCGCCAAGGACCTGTACAAGATCACAGGCCACGAGATCGACGAGGCTGGCGTCGTGTTCTACGTCGTGGAGACTGTCGAGGGCAACGTCGCGTTCAAAAAGCGCTTCAGCGAGTTCAAGACGCTTGTCGTGGCTCTCGGCAACCCCAAGAACCTGCCAGCACTGCCCAGTTCGGGCCTAGGCGCCAAGTTGCGTGGCAAGCACAATCCGGATATGATCCAGGAGCGCGAGACGCAGCTTGCCGTCGTGCTCAAGGCAATTGCCAACGACACCGAACTGGCCGAAAAGGAGCCTTTCAAGAAATTCGTCGAGTAATTAACCACGCGCCCTGTTTCTAAAACTTTGTACCAATGCAATACCAGCACTTTTGCCTTCAGAGTCGTTTTCTCTGTCCAATTTAAAGTGTCATTTTGCAGTAAACCTGCAACACTAAAGCTGCAAAAATGTGTTTATTAGAGTATGCAAATGTGGGCATGAGGTGCTCCCTGTTGCGAACATTGATATTTCATCATATTGTAGACTGCGTCGATTGCCTCGAGTCGTCGTCCATCTGCACCCCCAAAACGCTGCTGAGGTTCGACTCGCGGCTCCGACGCGCTGCTGCTTCTTCCGCCCGAGCGGCCTCTTGCGCCTTGTATTCCTCGGATAGTTTCCACTCGCGACGTCGCACGAAGCCGTGATGTGGTCGCGGTTTCTTGGCTTTCTTCTTCTTGTTCTTCCTTCGCGACGACAGGAACGTGCCCGTGCTGCTGCGAGCGTCGCTGACTCGCAGTTCCAGCTCCTCCTCTAGCTCGTCACTCTCGGTCGGAGGCGTGGACGGGAAGAAGGCAAAGTCGTTCTCATAGACCCACCCGTCAGCGTCGCATCCAGGCGCGTCCAGGTTGAGTTCCAGACCGGCCAGCGGGATGGCTTGGGCGCTGATCTTGCCTGAGCGATCACTCCAGCGCTTGCGATCAGTAGGCAGCAGGTAGCCAGGGAACGAGCTGCCGTAGCCACAGAATGGCTGGTAGCGTTGGTTCTCGAAGAAAACGGGGTCGTCCGACTGGAGGATGAAGTTGCGCACGTCGGAGTTGATGCTTTTGCGGCTGTTCTGTCCGCCGTTGTTGTTGGTCCCAGTAAGAATCCAGTTGACGATGTTGGCGGGCTGGTCGAATGCAAAGCCCGTGTACAATTTGGAGCGTCCTGGCGCTGTGAATGGGACGGGGTTGCTCTCGTGTACTCGTCGGTCTTGGTAGTCGATCATGCCGGCCAGCTCCGGGTTGAGATAGTTGACTTGAGGCGGCTTGAACTCTTGCAGTTCTTCGCGCGAAATCGTCGACTTTTCGTCTTGCGCTTCCTTGACCAGATCCAGATATTCCGGCACAAAGCGACGCCGACAGCCCTCGTACAGGAAATCCTTCATCAGAATAGCCACGACCGCAAACACTTGACCGAGCCAGAACTGCTCGCGACCGAACTGCCAGGGCAACGAATCCGTGTCGTACGACCAATCGATCTGGTCGATTACGTACTGAATGAGGTACAGAGCAATCACAGTGAACACCATGCTGGCGATCTCCAGAACATCCCACGAGTTGACCATGAGGCAGAAACGCGCGTTCACGACGATGCACAGGATGGTCCAGCCCAGCGTCTCCATGGTGAGATACTCGATCGAGTTGCCTCCACGCTCGATGTTCCACCCAGCAGCCAGGATGGCGTAGTAGATTCCCACCGAGTCGATGATGCCCAGGAAGATCCACTTCCAGAACATCTTGTGCGAGAAGAAGCTGGTCTTGCGCATCTCGGCGTGATACAGCGCCGGGAACTCCAGTATAGTCTTCTTCGGCAGATCCTTGTCGTAGGCCGAGAAGATGACGATGGGCAGCGCCGTGAAGATGAGATTGTAGGCCTGCTGGATCAGCGCCGAGTAAATCATCGTGCCGGAGTACGCAGTGGGCCACAGCGTGTACCAGAACATGGACACGTTGTACACGATGTTCTTGTAGAAGGTGTAGACAACCAGAGCCGCCACGCGGTTGTAATTCCAGCGGCCATGGACCAAAATCAAGTTGGTGAGGAAGCGGAACTGAGCCAGCGCGTAGTCCGAGCTGTTAACGGCTTGCAGACCTTCTTGGCCACTGATACCCACGCCAATGTGAGCACTCTGGATCATTGGGACGTCGTTAGCGCCGTCTCCGATCGAGAGCGTGTGGGACTCGGGGACATTCAACTTGACCAGCTCAACCAGTTGCGCCTTCTGCTGCGGAGACACACGACAGGCCACGACGACTTTACACAGCAGCGACACACGCAGGAGATGCAAGTTGTGCAGCGGATCTTCCAGGATCTTACTCAGCGAAGCGCCGTCGATAACCAGCGCGTGTTCAACTTGACCGGACGGGGGCGACAGCACCGAGTGCGCAGCCACAGTTGACGTGATGGACGTGTCCGTGACGGCGTCGTGGATCGAGTGGAAGATCTCGTCCAATTTCCGAAGGATTGAGCCCTTGGTGCGGTACTTGGCTGCGTTGATCACATGTCGCTCCATGTCGTTGTTCAGCAGGCGACACGCATAGCCAATGTTGATGGCCGTCTCCTCCATGTCTCCAGTCAGCACCCAGATGCAGATTCCAGCCTTCGCCAAGGCCTCCATGGACTCCGGGACACCATCCTGCAGGCGGTCTTCGATAGCTGTGGCGCCCAGTAGCTCCAGATTCGACTCCATTTGGTCCTGAAGATTGTCGATAGCGTTTGGCTCGCCACGAGACTTGGCCTCCACTTCACTCAAGTCAGCCGACACGTGACGATACTGCGCGTAGAACTGCTCCCACACTTGTGGGCTAATCTTCTTGGCACACACCACCAGCGTGCGCAGTCCATCCTGAGCGAACGCTTCCAGGTGTTTTTCGGTCGATTCTCGAATCTTGAGGTTGTTCTCGGACGTGGGGGCTAGCCGAGGGAACAGCATGCTGTCAGCTCCCTTGGTGAGAAGCAGTACGTCGTCTTCTTCGCTCTCCGACATCAGGCGCAGCTCGTCGTCACGTTTACGACGCTGCACAATCACAGACATCCGCTTCCGGTTCGAGTCGAACTCGAAGACTTCCAGGATGTCATACTGGTCCACGACACCATCAGGTTTCTTGATCGAGACGCTGCCAGGCTCACGGTCCACAAACTCGTAGCCAAAGAACTTGGCGCCACACACCAGCGCCAGTTCATCCGGAGACGAGGCCGAGTAGCTAACGGGAGGACTCGCGTCGTCTTCCGTGGGGTCGAGACGCTCGATCAGGACTCCGTGACACAACGCCAGCAGCGTCATGAACTCCTCGATCTTGTCGCGTTGAGGATCGTCCTTGTTCTGCATATCTCGCCACATGGTCTTGTCCTTAAAGTTCACGTTAGGAGCTGGCACCTGCGCGCGAGCGTCCAGCAGCGGAGCGTCGCTCTCGTCTGCAGATTCTTCCTCCACCGTCCGGTCTCCTTTGAAGTCGTGACGCATGCGAGCAGCCAGACCGATAGCTGTCGTGCCCTTGCCGTAGCTTCTTCCTCCGATACTGCACTTCCGGAACTCCATCTTGTTACACGTCAGAGTGCCAGTCTTGTCCGAGAAAATGTGCGAGATCTGTCCAAGTTGCTCGTTCAGCTGCATGTTCCGCACCTTCACGGGCGTGCCGCTCTCTTCGTCATACATATCCAAATCCCGTTCCATGAAATAGCCCTGCAAGGCCTTGACAAGCGTGATGGACACGTAGAGCGTGATCGGCACCATGGACGCCAGCGTCGTGAAGAAGTAGACGAACGTCTCAATCAACGTGTCGTCGTAGTCCTCCAGATGCAAATACGGCGGGATCTCGAGGCCGTTCATCCAGATCCGGTCTCCGATAGCGCCAACAAGCGACATGAGCACGAGGATAACCACCACGACGATCACTTGTCGGTTGGTCATCTCGTCGATAGACGACACCTTGACAGGGAACTCGTCGCCAGAGCTCATCATGATCTTGGTATCCACTCCCGTGTTCACCACCAGTCCGTACACGTAGCTGGTGTTTCGCAGCTTACTCCCACGAAGCAGCATGTTCTTTAGAGCGAGAGGGATTCCCTCGGCATTCCCTCCATATGGGTTCTCCTCCAGATACATAGTGCCCGAGTACGTGTTGATGTCGCCATTGGGCTGCTCGCTCTCGACGTATCCCTGGATGATGTACCCAGCTTCTTCCTCGTTCATAAACATGTTCCGAGTGGGGGACGGGGCTTCTCGCAGCTTCAGGTTGGTCTCTCCGTCCAGATTCTTCGTCTCGACGTAGCACAGGCCCATGTTCCCGCCCGAACGCGCGCCTTCAGCAGGGATCACAGCCATAATCATCATGTCGGCAGGTAGAATCTCGTGGTTGGCCACCTTGATGAAGTCCCCCACTTTGATCTCGCGCCACTCGACGTCCTCGAACTCGCGCAGTTGGCGGTTGAACACCCGCGTCTTGGCCGAGTTGGCGAGGTCGTCGGCCATGTGTCGCTTGTAGTCTTCGTAGCCAGCGAAGATGGCGTCGATGATGATGACGATGACGAGAGGGATGAACTGGAGCGGCACTCCGTCGGTTGGAGAGACCGACGGGATGATCTGGAAGATTCCGATGAGCAGGAAGTACAAGTTGGCCGTCTTCTGAAAGGTGAGGTAGAGGAACACAGGCACGAAGCTCCACACCGTGTACTGCGACGTCGTGACCTCGTTGGACACGAAGAACTCTCCTCCTCCTTCTTCTCCTGCTGCTGCGGCGTCGTCATCTCCGCCCTCTGTGGGGGCAACAGGCTCTCGCTTCGGCGCGTTGTTGCCGTCGTTGATCTTGACGATCTTGTATTGTTTACGCTGTCCCAGAGGCACTCCCTGCGAGTCTGTGGACATTAGACTACTCATTCTACCCAGTAGTTTGCGGCTGCTCTTGGGAGTCATCGTCTGGCCTCCAGCGGAGCCAGTCTTGGCGCTAGAAGCGTCTGTGTCGGTCTGTGTCCCGCCCTGGATGTTGGCCATCTCCCGCTCAAAGTCGGTCATATCTCTAGACTCGGGCACAGGCGATCCCTGGTCTGCCAGACCTTCATTTCGAGCCTGTTCCTCCTTCTTACGTGCGCGCACTCGCGATCGCAGCGACGCGGCATTGGCTGGGTCGATGTAGCGCGTCGTAGAGCGGGTATTCTGTCGGAATCTCAAACTACGTGGCAAACTTCGGTATAACATACGCAAGTAGCCCTGATTGGCGGCGGGCGCGGGCGAGCTGGCTGTGCGTTGACGCGTCAGCAGATCGGCGCGTGTGGGCGCGTCGCTCACATCGTCGTCAAGAAGGCGCTGGCGGAAATTGAGCAGTTGACTGGATGTGAGCGTGCGGAAGAGCTCGGAATTGGGTCGTTCTTGCGGCAAGTCGGACGGACCTGCCGGCTGGCGCGGCAACACTTCGACAGTGTGGTTACGGTGGAAATACCTGGACGGATCGGCGTTTGGCTCCGTGTGCCGGGAGCTGGGCGACGACTGTAGGCGATGGTACTGTGCCTGGTTCGACGGCGTATCGGCGCCTACATCGCTCGCTCGGCGGTCCATGGCGGCGGCGGCGTGCGATGCCCCCGGAGCGGAATTCTAGCGACTGATTAGAGCTAACCGATTGCGGAAAGGAGGTGGCAAGGGTATTTATAGGAGGTAGTAATCAAAGTGTTTGTTTGGAAAGATTGCGGCGATGGTGTGACGCTGCATGTGATAAAAGATAACTTGGTTTATGAAAGACGGTGCAGTCTTTTGAGAGCGGAAGTGTCGAAGTAAGCAAAATGCAGAAAAGACGTTATGTTTTGGCCCAAAGCTTTCCAAAACTTTTGGGTATTTGTCGTATATTAATGAGCTCGAGGATGTTTTTTTAATTCGTGGGTCCGACCGACTAAGCAGTCCTCACAGTCAGTTGAGCTCACGCACCCACGAATTACTAGTATATGTTCTAAATTAAAGGATTGGATTGAAGTGACCTGGCCACGAGGGCTCAAAAAAACAATCCTCACAGTCAGCCGAGCTCACGGACCAATGAATTACTAGTATATGTTCTTAATTCAAGGATTAAATTGACCTGTGCTGATCAGCCACATTTAAGACGTGATTATTAGAAATCTGCAGTTCAACGCAAACTTGTGTTTCTGATGCTACACTCAGCTTTACTGCTGACGAGAAAAGAGCGCCTTGAGCGCAGTGAGCCTTCGTTTTTTTTTTCAATAGGGCAACACCTCCTTCTATCGTGCCACGGACGCTCTGGTGCTTAATCCTGGCGCCAGCATACGGGGAGTGCAATAAACTTTGAGCTAAAGATCATGCTCTTTACCGACTATCAAAGACTCAACTCAGAAGTTCATTTGGTAAACAGATAATTTATCAAAAAATGACAGTAATTACAACTGGTGCCTACTGTAGCGACTGGCTCCTTGGTTTGTGTTGTATCGTAGCGGCGTAATCAGCGCTCGAAACAGTGGTTCTTCAACTTGACGATTCAGTTTGTCAACCTAGAAGATCGAATTACTGGTCGATTATGGGGCCCTGTGTGTCCCAACCCAGTTGGGAAATCGCAGACACCTGGCGGCGGACATCTTGTGGCGTGGAAGACACAGGTCGTCTCGACAGGTCCTGCCGACATGCTGCATAGAGCATTTGGACGGTGGCACACACGCGTGCAATGCTGACGGGCATAAAATGTTCGACTTATTTTGTTAAAATTTAACCAAATGCTGGCATTCTAAAATATATGTTATAGCTTCGTGCTCAAAGCGCGCTGGACGCACTTGTGACGACCTGTTCAAAATATCCAGCACCGTAAGAGTTGCTGTAGCCACTCACAGTCTCCATCAGTTGATCACGGCAAAAGCAAATCTTGTTCGGTCGCCACACTATAATAGAGCCCACAGGCTGTGTGGCACAGCGCCATCGCCAGCTTCTGTAGCAGCAGACGCTATTATATTTATGCTGCCGACGAGTCACGTTGCAGTAGGCTGCCGCTTTTCTAACGATTGCTGCACAAGATACTCTATTAAGCAATACAATTCCGGATGGAAGTGCTGACCTCTAAGCTCGCCTAAAATGAAACAGCCCCTTAATTAATAATCTATCCGATCGAAAATTCGAAAACGCGCCAAGTAAGGTTTAGTTGGTTTTAACCCTTTAGGACCTAAGCCTTAGAGTCCCTCAGGGGGCCTCTTACGTAAGCATACGATTGGCTATATATACATTTATAGAACGTTTGCCAGTCCCTTCTGTCGTGCCCTGTCTCTTTATTTTCTAAGAGTCCCAGTTTGGGACTCTAACTCGACCAGAAAGATACCACTTTAGTAAATGACCATAAGTCATTGGTAGAAATTGCGAAATACGCTAATCTTATTGGCTACATTTTAGGAGGCCCTGGCAGGGACTCTAAGACGACCTCAGGTCTTAAAGGGTTAACCACAATGAAATCGGGGCCTGCCCACAATAAAAAAAGTAGTTTTATTGAAAATAATTGGTGGAAGGTAGACATTTATAATGGTAAAGGTGATTTTAATACGCGCGCTCACCAAGCCTAAGAAAATGAAAGTAGTTTTATCGGGACTAGTACATGTACATGTAGAGCTTCTCCAAAACGGTAGTGGAAGTTTTCATATTAATTTTCTATTTTTACTACTAATTCTATCCTTACAATCCATTTTCTTGGGCGCGTCCTGCTTCGTCTTCACGATCTCTTCTCTGTTATGACGCAGCAGCAACTGCCTCTCCGCTCGTCTGCTATTCATCTTGTCCTACGATGCCCCATTACAATCACTCCAATTGAAAATATCCTCTCTTGGAGCGCTAATGAAAATGTAACGGGGTACGTAGCCCTAAGGGTACCCTGGTTACATGAAGTGTGACACTTCACACTTCAAGAGTATGACACGTCATACTCCGAGATATTTGGTACAAGGTACCAAGGTCGTTCAAAGCCAACCATTGGTTAAATGACATTGCATTTCTATAGGTAACTAACAGTTTGTATTAAACCCAAACCTAACCTACCTATAAATATACTCAGTTTACAATCTACCTTATTTAGGTCACTTCGCTCTCTTTAATTAAAGAGGGGACCTGTGAGCTGCCGTTCACTGAGAGTTGTATACTCTCGGAAGATATCTTCCTCTAGCGCAAGGTGCTGTGTGACCCCGTCACACTTGGTAGCACTTGTAGTCAATCCACGCCACCGCGGGTAGACTACCTGAACCTCTCCGAAGTTCGTTGCCATGGATAGGAACGACTTCTCCCATATGAACGACTCTCAGTTCGAGTCGGTTCGGAAGATGGCAGGCATCTTCGGGATGGAGGCCCTGCAGAGCCTGGTGGTATCAACACCGGCTGAGCAGCTCGAGCGCGTCAATGCATTCGACGCGTACGAGCAGGGCCTCATCGCGCATGTGCGGGAGAACCTGCAGGCTCCGGCGGCGGAAGCAAATCCGCCTCACCCGAAGCCAATACGGCTGAAGGTAAAGCCGTATGAAGAGAAGGAAGGCAAAAATTTTCACTTCTGGGTCCGAGAAGTAGAGCTCGCGATGGACGCGGCTCTGATCTCGACCGAGCAACTGCGTGTTGCTTTTGCACTCTCCAATCTTAGCGGTCGTGCTAAGAGTTGGGTGTACACTCGGGAAGCAACATCCCCTGGATGTTTCACATCCTGGGCTCAGCTGTGCGAACAGCTCCGAGCCGCGTTCCTCCCGGCGAACTACGAATACCGCCAGCGTTCGCTCTTCCTCGCGTGTAAACAAGGAAGGCGCGAACTGCACGAGTATGTGCAAGAGATACGGGAGCTCACGGCGTCCCTAGTGGGAAACCCACTCAATGAACACATCAAGATGACTGTGTTCATGGACGGCCTTCGAGTGGGCCCCGCACGCACTCAGCTGTTCCGGGTGCAGGCAAGCACCCTTGAAGAGGCGATTCAAGTGGCTCTTCAAGAAGAGTACAGCCATCGTCAGGCGCGTACGCCGGCCTCAGCGTGGCCTGGGAGTTCCTTGTCGGCTCCCGGTCGAACAAGCCCCAACGGACCAGTTCCCATGGAGCTCGGGTCCGCCGAACAGCGTGACATCCGCTGCTTCGGCTGTGGGAAGATGGGCCACTTCAAGCGCGACTGTCCCGCGGAAAGACTCCGCAGACGGTCCTTCCCCAAGCCCGTCCTCAAGGGTCGCTGGCAGAAGCCAGGATCCCGGGGACAGGGGAACGCAGGGAACCAGTAGGGGCGGGGCGCCCTACTGGGGAAGAACTAAGTCTTCGTGGTGGGTGCGCGTGTAGCGCGTACCACGGGGACTTAGCCCCTGAGAGTCTTCGCACTCTCGAATCGGCGAAGAGCTGCGGCGGGCTGCTCGTAGTACACGGATGTGTACGGGGATACGATCATCCCTTTAGAATCTTGATTGACTCTGGGGCGTCGAAGAATTTCGCAAGCCGCCAGACGGTTGCTCGTAGCAGCAACAAGTTGTCCGAAGCTTTGAGAGAAAGCAAGGGCAACGGGACGGTGTCAGTGCGACTGGCCGACGGGAAGGTCGTCACTGTCCCCAACGTCCAAGTGGATCTGGCTGTCAAGTTTGAAGACTTTGACAGCCTCGAACAGCTCACTGTTCTCGATATGGATCCATATGATATGATCCTGGGCATGCCCTGGCTTGAGAAGCACGAGCCCTGGATCGACTGGCGAGACAAGGCAATCGGTGCCAGCCGCCCTGCGCTGTCCGACAGAGCATTGGTGAGTCATGCTCCCACCTCTGTCAGGACCCGGGGCGCCCGCGAGGGCTGCCAGGGTACCAAAGCATCCGGCAGATGCTTGGGAGTCGTCGACGTATATGACGACTCCGAGGATGTTTTGATGGTGGCAGCGCCCAGAAGAGGCGCTGGCCAAGTGGGTAGCTTAGGTCCGCAGGCGGGTAACTTATTACGCAGGCAGCTGCAGCTGTCATGAACACTGAGAACAGCGTGTTTAGAGTGGGTAACAGAGTTCAACTCACGGTCGCCCAGACCTTAATTGAAGAGGAAGACGTCGGATACGCTTCCTGTGTGGGTAACACAGTGCCACACACGGTCGCCCAGACCTTAACTGAAGAGGAAGGCGTTGAACACGCTTCCTGTGTGGGTAACACAGTGCCACACGCGGTCGCCCAGACCTTAACTGAAGAGGAAGGCGTTGAACACGCTTCCTGTGTGGGTACAACAGTACCACACGAGGCCACGAGTGCCTCGGATGTCGTAGCGACGACATCCCTAGACGTGGGCAACACAGCTCCCCGTCACAGACGCCGTCGACAAAGACGCCGCCGCCGCCTCAAGTCGGATCCGAACTTCGTTCCGATCGACGTCGCCTCAAGCGACTCGGAGTCCAGGGCCCGGGCTCCTCCGACAAGGCCGGTGGAAGAGTGTTATCACTTCTTCGATGGCGAGACAGGTTTACCCGTCAAGGCATCTGGTGTCCACTTGGAACCGTTGCCAGAGGTTGCAGAGATACTGAACCTCGAGGAAATGACGGCTGAGTCTTTCCTGGCCAACCTCAAGGCTGGAGAGATTGCTGAGATGGTACTCAT